AACGACCCATATCCGTTTTCGCACGCACGGACGGCCTGGATGCGTTCCCTCCCCAAACGCATTCAGCCGGCCATATTTAAATGCGAACAACAGTTCAGATCCATTTTTTATTTAAACACGATCGGTAGATTGCGATAAACGGTCCAGATTCACTCCCTATTTAATCGCGATTGGACGGTTTAGATCAAACGTAAAGGACAGTCAAGATTAAATGGGGACGGATATAAATAACCCTTTTCACACTAAACTCTAACCTTAGCCGTCATATCCCTCCGCCGGAGAAGAAGACCCAGCTGCTGGGAAAGAAGTTGCCGCCACCCGCCGCCACGCCGGAGCCACTTTCGACCTCTAAAAGAAGTAAAAAAAAATTCATTTGCTCATAATTTAATATTAAACACCCTCATGGCCAAATCAGAACAAAAAGACCGATCGATTGGGCGAAAACTGCAAGCAAAACCCGGTGGTGTTGCCGTAAAAAATTGTAAAAATCGCCTCCGATGAGATCCTTTCCGATTCCCGTTATGCGAAATTTTTCCACCGTTATAATTACCGTTTCCTTTTCTACAGGTTGACCCGAAGCAAAACATCCAACCCGCAAAAGTGAGCCAGCGGAGCTGCCACACCGGAGAGCCCCGCTGTCGGTGAGTTTTAGTTTTTCATTCTTTTTTGCCAACCGATGCCCCTTAACGTATTTTTTCGCAAAGATTGATGCAAAATTGGTAAAAAATAACCAACCCGAGGCAGACCCCACCGCCGCGTGTGGCGATGCTGTCGTCGGAGCACGGCGGAGCCGCCATGCCCGAATTCTAGAATTGACCAAAAATGGTACTAATACTGTTTTTGGATTATTTTTTTGGATATTTGTAGGTACTTGTAATGCGTTTTAATCCAAAAAAAAATTCAGAAAACTCGTGGACCGCCAGTAGGCGCAGTCAACAAGTTTAACTTTTCAAACATCGAATTGAGCAAGAATCTCTCATTCTATTCTCCGTTATGGAATTAAAGTCAAATTAATAATAATACGGTATTTTGTATAATTTAAAAAATATCCATAATTAATTATAGGTTACTAATTGAGGCAGAACCGAAAATTATTCATTATTGATTCTGTTGATTTATTTTACAGTTTGAATGCATGATAGTATATGATTGATCGATTTTATAGTTTTGAATGTATATATTGTTTGTTTTGTATGGTTACGGTTGAATTGAAAAACTGGAGGTTAAAGGTAAACGAAAAATTGTGTGATTAAGTGAATGGATGAAACGACAGCCTTACTGGATATCCTGAAAGATAGTAAACAAACCGGCTCCATTGAAAATCCTACCGTGAACGTTGTTTCTTACTGAACGGAGTATCAAGATTTGGTAATCTGTCGCTAATACCAGACGAGGTATGGGGACAACCCGTTTCACCATCATACCGGACGAGGTATTGAGGTTTATTAATTTGACGTGTATACCGGATGGGGTCTAAGGACGGCTTGTTAATTGAGAATTTTAAAGGAAATGGTTCACGCATAATAAGGACATATCTATGAACCCCCATGGATATCAGTAGGCTGATGAAAAGGGACAATCATTGTTTTGATTAATTGAATATAAAATTATAATATGTACATGTTATCGATTGAATATGAAATCATGATAAGTGTTATACTATTGTCGTTATACGTTGTTTTTATAAATCTCGCTATGGTAAGTGGACGGTAAATTATTTTATTATTGATAAATGAATTTGCTTAATTAAGTGCTCAATTAGTTATTTTTTATTTTTTTACCAACTTTCATTTTTGTGTCAGTGAGTAGTATGATATTCTTATTAGGGTAATGTACCTTATTCCTTATTTAATCATTTCATATCAAAAGAACTAGGATCTGGAGTCCGATCCACAAGAGGGTTGCGAGTAAAATGCCAATTTTATTTATTTATTTATTTTTTAAAAAAAATTTTGTATTTCATTCAAAATGGTAATTCTCATAGCATTATTTGGTACTTTAAGTCGTTGTATAAATAATGTAAACACTAACTAATTATTTCGTTTACGTACTTAATTTTATGATTTATTTTATTTAGAATTCTAAAGTTGTTACAATTCTAACTAAAAGAATTTAATAATCATATATTATTTATTTTATTTTAAAACATAATAAATTCATTAAGATTTTGATATATTTGATCTTTGTAATCCCACTAATATATTTTCAAATTAAATTTTTTATTTTACTTAATTAAAATATTGTATATCAGTAACTAATAGTACATAATATATATATATATATATATAATGATAAATTTTATATTTTTAATAAAATTCAATTCGTAATTTTCAAATAAAACTTCAAATTTTTAGTCACCGTATCATATTATTTCATTGAATTTTAAGTGACCGTAGGGATAGATTTTGTCTTTAGCACCAAACAGAGCTGAAGCCCACAAAGCCCAAATTTACTTGGGCTCAGAACTTTATTGCTTACAAATTCCTTGAACTATTAACTCAGTGCTTCACAGATGACTCAGAGACTTCCTATACACATAATTTTTATGCTTTGAATTTTATTATTTTCAGAGAACTGCATTCTCTTAAATATTATCGTTGAAGAAACACATTCAAAATGAGGGTCTTCAATCCAGGTAACTTACAGATTAAACTAATAAAGTCGAAACTTGTTCTCCCAGATCTTTCTTTTTTCTCTAAAAAATTGGCTTTAACGTTTTATCAGTTACAATTTTGATTATTGTAATCATCGAACTTACTCAAAATCAGCGGTGTTTATGCTACTTCGGAATCAAATGAATTAATCAATCGAAATTATGTTAAAACAATATGCTAATTTAGCAGCAACTCGATGTTTTAATTAATATGGTTTAAATTTTTTATTAATCTGATAAGCAGATCCTTAGGTTGCAGATAATAAGCCATTCAAAACTGTAAATGCGTGTATATATATATTTTAGTCTTGGCAATTGCTGTAATCTTATCATGCATCAGATTCTGTTAACACACGTAAAGCTGTATATGCGTGTGTGTATATATATTTACATACGTATATGCACCTAATCGAATGTATAATGTGAAGGAGTTGTAAGCAGGAAGACAACAATAGAGTGAAGAAGATTGAAGTTAAATACGTCGATACAAACATTCACCACCTTACGTGGAGCTCCAATGGTGCCTCCTCCTTTCAGTTTTATGCGGTCGAAAAGTAAAAACCTTTCCTCTCAATTCAATCAAGTTTAGTCTTGCTTTTCTTCATCTGCACATTTATCTCCTCCATATACACATCAATACATATAAACTTGTGTTGAAGTAAAATTAACATGAGATATATATCTTTTTAAGCACCAACTAAAATAAGAGAGAAAGAGTTTTACTATGTACTACTCTGAAAAGTTGATGACGATGAGGGCAGCAGGAATGATGATGATGATGATGATAATGATGATGATGGTGATGAGGGTAATGAGCTCACACGATTATGGAGATGCATTAACGAAGAGCATTCTGTTCTTTGAAGGACAGAGGTCAGGGAAGTTACCAGCTAACAAGAGGATGAGTTGGAGGAAGGACTCAGCTCTGCAAGATGGGTTTGAGATTGGGGTATGTCTGTCTCTCCAATCTCTATCTGCCTCAATCTGGAAGATTATTTCATTGTATAAGATATATATATATATATATATATATATATGATGAATATAAAAATTTGCAGGTTGATTTGGTGGGTGGGTACTATGATGCAGGTGACAACATAAAATTCAACTTCCCAATGGCATTCTCCATTACAATGCTCTCGTGGAGCGTGTTAGAATTCGGAAAACTGATGCCTTCATCAGAGTTTAATCATGCATTAGAAGCAATCCGATGGGGAACCGATTACTTACTGAAATCCACAAGTGTTCCTGGTTTCGTGTTTGCTCAAGTGGGTGATCCTCACGACGACCATAACTGCTGGGAAAGGCCTGAAGACATGGACAGTAGACGTACACCTTTCGCCGTCAGCAAAAACTTTCCAGGCTCAGAAGTTTCCGCCGAGATCGCTGCTGCACTTGCCGCTTCTGCCTTAATCTTCAGATCTTCCGATCGTAAATACTCCGCTAAACTTCTCAAAAGAGCAATAATGGTGTTTGATTTTGCCGACAAGTATAGAGGCTCTTATAATGATCGTCTTCAACCTTGGGTCTGCCCTTTCTACTGTGATTACAGTGGATATCAGGTCTTTACATATACATAACTCAATAACTACAAAAGGGATTCAAGAATTATTTACAGGTTGATTCTTGAATGTACAGGATGAGTTGATATGGGGAGCAGGGTGGTTATTCAAGGCCACCAAGGCTTCTTCTTACTGGGATTACGCTGTGGGAAACATGCAGAAACTGGGAGTTTCAGGAAATGGTGATAGCTTTGAATTTGGATGGGATTCCAAGCATGCAGGAATCAATGTTCTTCTTTCAAAGGTTAAATCTTTTTCTCATAAAAACAATTTTAAATCTTTTGGGTAATCTAAAAATCTTTCAATCGCAGTTTTTGATGAGCAACGTATCCAATCCGGCTCCTTTCGTTTCAAATGCAGAGAAGTTTGTTTGTTCTTTATTGCCCGAATCACCTTCACTATCTGTTTCATATTCTCCAGGTATATTATTATTCAATTATTTATAATTAATCACTTAATTAATAATTAACAGATAATTAATAAATTATTGAAATAATTAGGTGGGCTTTTGTTTAAGCCTGGTGGAAGTAATACTCAACACGCAACAGCTTTGTCTTTTCTAATCCTTTCTTATAGCCGCTACATAAGCCAGAGGAAATATAATAGATTCATCCGTTGTGGAAATCTCACTGTTTCTCCTGCTAGGCTTACACGTCTCGCCCAAACACAGGTATATATATATATATATACATACATATTAAGTAATTAACTATTACTGATTTATTATTACATACATATAGGTTGATTATATACTGGGAAGCAATCCACTGAATATGTCGTACATGGTGGGATATGGTACAAAATTTCCTCAGAGAATACACCATCGTGCATCGTCATTACCCTCAGTTGATAAACATCCAGAACCATTTGACTGCAAAGGAGGAACTTCATATTTCTCAACCAATAATCCTAACCCGAATTTGTTGATCGGAGCCGTTGTTGGAGGACCCGACATCCATGATTCTTATACTGATTCTCGACCCGATTTCACATATTCGGAGCCAACCACGTATATCAACGCACCTCTTGTTGGACTCTTAGCTTATTTCAATTCTCATCCAAATATATAAATACATATAATTGATTTTTTTATTAATCTTATTATTCATTAATGTAAATAAATAGGTAAGTTACTGTTTATTTTATCTATTTGTTTTATTACAACTTTGATATTTTAGTAATTAATATTTTTTTATTATTTTATATAAAATTAAATCGGAAAATATTAAACTTCACCGATCACAAAATAGATTGCGGATTAAACTGCAACAAAGTTACTTAAAATATAACTAAGACATAATTTCTAGGAAAAACAGTGGTTAAAGACAAAAAAAAAAGTTAATACGAAAGTCAATTAGTGAGCATTAAAATAAATAATTAAGTAAATAAAGAAAGAAAGTGGGTTATAGTAATTAAATTAGATTAATGTTCCTAAATTTATTATATTTTTTTAATAAAAAATATTATGTAGGAATTAAAATTTTTTAGGTGAAATATAATTAAAAAAATAATATAATATTTATTTTTTCTTAAAAAAAAAATTAATAAACGAAATGGGACTCTCAAAGTTCAATAGTGATTTATTTGCTGATATCATATTAAATTTTTTAAATAAATATTTATATCTACCAATATTAATTTAATTAATATTTTAATAAAGAAATAACACAATCAATTTTTTTTTTTAATGAGAATATACACGAAATATATAAGGTGATTCGAGATCAGAAATTGATAGAAAATAATAAAATTATTAATTATTTAGTTAAAAAAACGATTAATATATCTAATTATTTTGAAGATCCATACTTTTACAAGTATCAAAATTTATATTTCCTAATAAATTCTTAATAAATTTATATTTCACATTTAAGGAATTAGTATTTTATTATTAATTTTTCTAAAAAACTATACATTGAATATTATGTTCTGCGGATGACAACATGCTCAGTGTCTCAAATTTTCTTAATAAATTTCATAATATTCACTCGGATATGTAGTAAAATATACATAGCTAAATAATTTCTCTTGAAGCAATAAAATAATAAATAATAAAATTCTCAAAAATTAAGACAGAGATAAAAGCTGGCACCAACGTTATATTTTTCCTTCCATAATTAAAAAATATAATGTAACATTTCTAATTCCTCTTTCCTTTTTTTGGAAAAACTATACTGAGTTGTTCTCATACATTTATTTCTTTCCTGTTCAGTTCTTTACTTTCCATTTACATCTGCTTCTTTAAATGATATATACATGTGTATATATGTTATATGTTTCTCTGTGAACTCTTCATGTCAGAGTGAGTGGGAAGAAGGAAAAGAAGAAAGAAGAAAGAAGAAATGGTGAGAGGTGAAGTAATAGTCGTGTGGTTAGGATTAATTGGGATGTTATTTGGTGCGACCAGGTGTAGACCTGATTATGGGGATGCACTTTCTAAGAGCATCTTGTTCTTTGAAGGCCAGAGATCAGGAAAGCTAACCAATCAGAGGATGAGTTGGAGAAAGGATTCTGCTCTTCGTGATGGGTCCGATATCGGTGTAAGTAATTGATTGAATTATTTTCCGTTAAATCTTATTTTTAATTAATCAATTATTTAATACTATAGTTAAGATAAAAACCATTTCTGTGAATAATATATAATATTATAATTATAAAATATTTTAACGTTCCAGAAACTATAACCAAAAATAAGAAGTGATGATGAATGTATATATATACTCACTCACTTGACCCTAAAATAAGAAGTGAGAAGACCCATTTATCGAAAGTTTCATTCACATTAATCATTTAAATGCATATTAATTTGCCTGCAAATTTAACATGTATAATTTCAGATGGATTTAGTAGGTGGTTACTATGATGCTGGTGATAACGTAAAGTTCACTTTTCCAATGGCATTCACTACAACAGTCTTAGCGTGGAGTATCACAGAATTTGGACAATTAATGGGCGATCAAGACCTTCAACATGCCCATGAGGCTCTCCGGTGGGGCACCGATTTCCTTCTCAAGGCTACAAGCACATCCGGCACAGTCGTAGCCGTAGTTGGTAACCCCATTTCCGATCACAACTGTTGGGAAAGGCCCGAAGACATGGACACTCTTAGAACTTCTTATGTCGTTAACACAACTCACCCGGGATCTGAAGTTTCGGCAGAAATTGCCGCTGCACTTGCTGCCTCTTCTTTGGTTTTCCAATCTGCTGATGCTAAATACTCGGCAACTCTTCTTGATAGAGCAAAAGAAGTCTTTAAATTTGCAGATAGTTACAAGGGATCTTATAATTCAAGTGTTGGAGCAGGTGCATGCCCATTTTACTGCGATTTCAATGGTTACGAGGTAAAAATTTAGAAATAAATTTACAAAATTATTGTTATGTTATTTTTAAAGATTCACAGTATAAATATAAATTACAGGATGAACTGATATGGGGAGCGGCATGGCTATATAAGGTGACGAAATTAGAATACTACTGGAAATATGTTAATGACAATATACCGAATTTTGAAAAGAGTATCTCCCAAGATTATTTGGTGGGTGGTTTCTTAGAATTTGGATGGGATGCAAAGCATGCTGGCATTGCTGTGCTCTTTTCCCAGGTATTGTTTCCAGTTAATTACTCTTAATTAGTTTAAATATTCTGGGTTATTGTCTTAATCATAATATAATTAATTGGATAAACTAATCAAAATTTGATTAATTAATTCGTTCTATATTTGTAGCTGGCGATGGACTCCGGTAATTCAAGTCCTTTTATTCGGTATGCAGACCAGTTTGTGTGTTCTGTGTTGCCCAACTCACCCACAAAATCAGTCACATATTCAAAGGGTTAGTGTTTATATTATATATTAAGTAAAAAGATATTTATGGGATTTAATTAATTTTTTTAAATGAATAAATTTGAAATTAAAAAAAAAAAAATATATATATATATATATATATGTATAGGTGGGCTTCTGTTCAAACCAGGATCAAGCAATTTGCAACATGCAACATCTTTGTCATTTCTTATCATGGTTTATGCTGGCTACTTGAAAGATAGAGTGGTTCAATGTGGTGGTCTTAAAGCTTCTCCCTCCGACCTTAGAGAATTTGCAAGAACCCAGGTTAATTAATGATTTTGATTTTAATTTTAATTTTAATTACAATTAATTAGTTCCATAATTGCTAATTACACAAATACTAATTAATTATGCAGGTGGATTATGTATTGGGGAGCAACCCAATGGGAATGTCATACATGGTTGGTTATAGCAACAAGTTTCCTCAGAGAATCCATCACAGAGGATCTTCCCTACCCAGTGTGGATCAACATCCCAAACCCATAAAATGCCATGATGGAACACCTTATTTTGAATCCCAAAACCCTAATCCCAATATACTAACCGGGGCGATTGTCGGAGGACCCGATATCAACGATCAGTACAAAGATAGTCGGGTCAATGTCTCTCAATCGGAGCCTACCACTTACATCAATGCTCCTTTTGTTGGAGTCTTAGCATACTTCAAAGCTTCAAAATAAATTTCTCAATTTTACTTAAAATGAATACGTAAAACTTAATTAAAGCACCGATTTTTCCTCTTCATCTTTCTATTTATGTGCTTCAATCTATATAAAAAAATTAACAAAACAGTAATTTTTTTAATTATATATTATGATCGTTACAACTATGTTTAAATCAAATATCAAATCTGATAAGACAAAATAATTTTGTTCCATATTTGAATAGAAATTTGATGTGGGGTGCCATGCAACAAACACTGTACTAAATTTGCATGTGATCTATCCCTAACCCATGTTCTTTGTTTGGATTTTCCAACTTTTTTCCTTAATTGGAGGATCTCCGTACCCTAATTTTCCTCCTTTAAACTAAATTAAGTTGCCCATACTTATCATCGTATTTAATAAATATATTAACTTAATATCATTACATATATGTATAATTTTTTTACAAACTAAATAAAAAAGCTGAGTAACATTAAAAATTGATATATATATATATATATATGTAATATCATCAACTGGAATTATCACACACACGCCTTGCACACGAGGGAAATTAACTATTGACGTAAACTGGTAAATTTTGATAGCCAATTTTACCATTTACCATGATGGTAAAATTTGATTAATTAACCACTAAGAGAAGCGAATCTGTTGATCAACGCCAAGGCATTGCTGGTCAAGTGAGCAATATTCACAATCCTCCCTCTCACTTCAACCTTCATCTTACCGTTCATGGCGTTCCCTTGAAATCCATCCGTACACGTGCTCTCATCGGTCAAAGCAGCGCTAACCCAAGTCTGCACATCGTTGACCATGAGTCCAAAATTTGTAGACGACGACCGTGATCTTCCCATTTGACCCATCTCTTCAATAGACTTTCTGAGCTCATCGACCGCGTCGCTCAGCTCCTCCACGCAGTCGGTCATGGCGGCCACCTCTCTGGGTCTCAGGCCGTGGGTTTTCGACAGGCGGAGCATGGCGAGGGAGGTGGACTTGGCGGTGGCGAGGGTGACGTTGAGGGCTGCATGAGCGAGAAGTTTAGGGCTTGTTTGGATTAAGCTTGCGTGGGTGGAGAGGGAACTGAAACAGAGGGTGGGATAAGTAGTTGCTCGGCAAGATGTTCTGATGAACTCAACGCTTGAGTGGGCTGTGATGTGTGATCTTCTGGCGGCTGAGATGGTGCTTGTTTGGCAAGTGAAGGCAAGTATGATGATGAGAAAAAGTTTCATGTGCGGAAGCTTATGATGGTTTGAAGAAAAAGCTGCTTCCATGGTTGGGAAAGAATGAGCTTTAGCTTATAAACTTTAAACTGTAATTGATGATTAGCCCAAGAGGTATTAGCTTAAAGTGATGAAATTATAAGTTCCTTAAGGGGAGGCTTAGCTTTTATAGAATGAAAGATGGTATGCTTACCCTATTTATGAATCACGTGAATATGATTGCGTACATGTACCAAGTTACTATACCCTATCTAGTAATTAAATTTTGTATATTATATTTAAGAATTATACGTTCAAAATGTATTAAAATTATAAAATTTACTACTTTATTAGAATATTATAAATTAGTTATGATAATTTTATAATATTTAATTTAATAATATTTATATCATATCTCATTAATATTAATGTTTAAGTTGAGATTCATTTCAACGAAGAATGTTATATAATTTTTTAATATGAACTTTTTATAAAAATTGATGGGAAGAAGTACAGTTTGTTATATGAATTATAAGGGAAAAAAAAGAAAAAGATTAATTTTTCAAAGCATTTTTTTTAATTTTAAATTATAAACTAGTATTAATTTAAATTAAATGGATTTACTTTCAATAAAAACAGTTTAATTATGAGCTAATTTGATTGAATAAACTCATAATCACATTTATGTAGTGAGAAAAAGAAGTTTGATTTTTACTTATTTTTAGAATTACAAATTTTTTTCTAAAAAAAGAAAACTATCTTTTTCTAAGCAAATTGACAGAATTAAAGACACAAATATCAATTCTTTAATATATATATATATATATATGTATAGAATTCCAATAATTAAAAAATTATTTAAAAAAAAAAAGAAAAGAAAATTAAAGAAAAGAAAGTGAGGGTGATAGTGAATGAGATAAAGACAATGTATGTAGCCGAAATTTACGTATTTGGGCGGCTCAATAATTTTGAATAAAATTAAAATTAACAAATTTAAATAAAACTAAATACATATTTAATATATTCACATGATGATCAATTTCAAAAAGTATATATATATATATATATATATGTGTATGTGTGTGTATATTTTTTTAAAAGCAAAAATATTTTTTAAAAAAAGCATTTAACAAACCTACTTATACATTTAATATATATTAAAAGCAAATTTTAATTTTAATTTTAGTTTTACCAGAAAATATCTCAAATTTTTTTTTTTAATTTAATTACAAAATAGTTTAACGGTTAGAAACTGTAACCAAAAATTGCAACCAAACAGCTTCTTAATCATTTTAAAACATGGATATGGTTGTTGTCTTTCCAAAACCAGTTCTTTCAGCCGTACTTCTTTCCGATATATCTATATATATACATACACACACACATATATATTCGTATGTATATCGCATTGCAGAGTGGATTATGTCGGTAGCACGCCAAAACCCAATTGTATATAGATATTTTTGGAGAGGAAAATATCTAAATAGATATATATATCTATATACATACATACATGTAGTGTGTGTGTGTGTGTGTGTGTATATAGACAAATAATTGGGCTTTTCTGAAAAAGGAAAAAATAAAAGATGTAGGCCCGTGCCATGTGTTCTCTCAAATTGCAGATCAAGTGGGAGATGAGAGAATTAACAAGTGATCTTCAAGCACATTTTTTGTTTTTGTACTCGAGTTCCATCACCATCTCCACTTGTCTCGTTGTCGCCATTTAATTCTTAGCTAGATAAAACTTACCCTAGTTTCTGCTTTTCTAATGCCATACACCCATTTAAGTTACACACATGCTTTCGTTTCACCCATATAATATAATATATATATATATATATATATATATATATATATATATTAAAAGTAAGGTCCTTTGGCTTCTCATCTTCCAAAAGATACAAGAATCTTTTGGCTTCTCTACTTGAAACGATTTTCTTTCATATCCCCAAATGTCTGCAGCTATTTACGCCCGTGAATTACACACACACACATATATATATATATATATATATATACGTTTCTCTCTCTCTCCTCTCTCTCTCTCTCTCTCTCTCTCTCTCTCTCTTTCTCTCTCTCTCTCTCTATATATATATATATGCGCATGTGCAGAATGCTCAAATGTCAAAGGGTTTATGTGTGAAGCCCAGTTTACCTGAGCCCACGGGTAATGAAATAATGGCTCACGAAATCAAAATGAAGGCGTGTGTAACATGTGTGTGTGTAAAAGGTGTATGTGCACCATGTTTTTAGTTGAAATATAAGTATCTCGGCAAAAGAACCCTATGAAAATTTCTCTTTGGCTGCTCTCGCTCTCTCCAAATCTCTCTCATAGTCGCTCACATTCTTACTTTGTTCCTCTATTTTGCTACGGATCTTTGCAGGTAAGAACCGAAGGAGATCTGAAAAGGATTTTATTGTGTTAAAAGTTCAACCTTTTATATATAAATAGCAATTACATAAACAAATCAAAAAATAATTACACCGTTTCAATTTCAATCAAAAAAATTACATAAATAAAATAATATAATTAATTTAATTTTATTGCATAAAATTAGGAACACTCGAAATGCTATTTTATAAAAAGAAACACGATTCTTTATAAAATTATTAGAAAGAAACTTTTTATAAAAAATCATGACTTTTGATGAGTATATAAAAGAGAAAAAATTATCTATGTTTAACAAGAAAAAAGATAACACCCAGAAAATAATAAACTATCATTTTTTCTCTCTCATATTGAGTAAAACTATAACCAAATTTGAGTTTTAAGATGTAAAAATTATTCAAAACTCTAGTAGCATCTAAGAAAAGACAAAGACGGTTAGAACATCAATAATTAATTATCGTTCTCCGTATGTACAAAAAAAAAAACATTTTGTTCTCTTGCTTCCGCATTAAAATTAATTATAATTTTCTAACAAATTTGTTGTAATATCCATCTAAAAAAAAAGAGAGAGAAGAAATGTAAATAAAAAATAAAATTAGAGTTAAGATGTAAATGAAAGAATTTTTCAAAATTAGGGGGCTTTTGGTTTATTTTTGGAACTTATATGAAACAAATGAGAAAAAAAAGGGTAAAAGTATAAATAAGGGGAAGTGAAAGGGGGAAAAGGAAATTAGAAAATGGATGGTTCTGATCGAACCGTCTAAGAAGATCGAATGACTGAAATTTAAAAAGAAAAAGGATGGCCCAAATTGAGTAAAAGAGATTCGACCGTCGGGACAAATAGGTATAAAAAGGAAGAGTTTAAGGCTTTTCTTCATTGTAAGGGCAGCTGAAAAAAGAGATAGGGAGAAGATAGAGGAGCAATTAGGGAGAAGGAAGAAGATGGGGTCGCGCGGGGAAGCCAAGAGAGAAGAAGAAGGTGAGGAAAGGAAGAGGGAGGTCGGAGAAGGAGAAAAAGAAAGAGGATGAGGAAACGGCTGAGCCGTCGTACGACGACTGAGATTGAGGCAGTTCGGGTTTTTCGAGCATCCCACCTGAGATAGGTGCATTCCTTTTCTTCTTTCGATTTGTGCTTTTAATTAAACGAGTGTTCGTGTGTGTGTGTGTGTATGCAGGTTTGAGAGCTAGGGAACCGCGGGGTGACCGAGAGGAAGCAACCCGGTGCTAAGCCGAGGCCAAATCTCCCCCACGCCGGGAAAAATAAAGCTTTTTCTTATTTTTAGTGGCTGTTGAGCAGCGATGGAGTGGGGACGGTGTTGGGTTGGCCGCTCAGGCTCGGCCAGGCCACCTACCCCATGCAGGAACTAAGGAGGTCTCCTCAATAATGGGGAAAGTCGACCCATTCAGGAAGCTGAAGGGTCTCCCCCAAGCGTGGGAACCCGATTCGCCATTTTAGGTTCTAATTCATCGTCCGGAAAGCTGAAAAATCTTCCTCAAGAAACGAAAATCGGATTTGCCATCCAGTAAGCTAAAAAGTCTTTCTCAAAAAATATGAATCCGATTAATCGAATGGAGAGCAAAAAAATTTTTCAGGTACCGATCTTGATAGGTTCGGGTATTCTGTTGGGTGGTCATTGGAACCCATAAATTAATTTAATTAATTTTTAATACTTCTAAGTATTTTAATTAATTATGTTGTGTGTACAGAAAAATTTAAACATTTAGGTATATTCAGAAAGACAAGTTAAAAAATAAATATTTTTAAATCTCAACCTTGTTCGAATTTTAAAAAGTGTATTCATTTTATTAAATTATAAATTTTGATATTTGAACAAACGTTGATTCAATTTTTGATAAAAGAAACAGAATCCAAATTATGATCGGTAAATCTAAACAATGAGAACTCTATGAGGAGACGAAACCAGAAAACCAACCCAATAGATTAAGAATTATTTGGATTGAATTATTTGGATGGATGAAATCTAAAATTGAAGAGGAAATTTTCCAATTAAGAAAAAATTGAAAAAGAAAAAGAAATAAAATAAAAACATAAAAATAGAAAGGAAAAAAATAATTGAGGTTAAGAAATAATCATTTAAATAAACTAAAAATTTTAGAATGAGAGGGTATGAGTGAATAGGATAGGGACTCTAAATACTTTCTTATTTAGTTTGAATCGAGATGATGAGTGTGTGTGTGTGACTGAAGTTCAGCAAGTATGGTGAACCTGTACATGGATAGAACTTGAAACCTAGTCCAGACACGGATAAGCATTCATGTGAGTGTAGGCCACCTAGCGAATATAGCTGCTGTGACCATTGTGTAATTTATGTGTGTGTTATTCATGCGATGAGGGATCTATTTCGTCTTTCATCGATGATGAAATAAATGATATTGTGTGATGAAACTATAGAAATGTCTGTTTGATTGTATCTGTAATCTTTTGTGTATGTGTGTAATTATATTTCGAGATTATGAACGATATTCGAGTATATTCGTGATCTTTTGCATGTGTGATTATGTTTCGAAATGACGATTAATATTCAAGTACATTTATGACTTTCGAGAGTATGAGAATATATATTTGAGAGAATTTATCAGATCGATCAGAAACATGTGAAATAGTAAAATTTAAGAACATGAATTTTGTACTGAATTATTTTTGTAGTTTTTATTTCTTACTGTGTGTTTTGCATGAAATTTTATCTGAGTTGAGATAATAAAAAAACTTATTGAGTTGGTGAAACTCATTAAATTTCACTTTGATATTTTTCAGATGATAATGAAGAGACAGCACCGCTGTTAGACGAGTATAACTTATAAAATAGTTCTTATTTTTGTATATTTTGTGCACGTTCGAAAAATTTTATTGTATTCTATTATACTCTAAATTCTGACATCATATTTTGTATATATAGTTACCGTACATATCACATAGAATATTAAGTTGTATTATATTTTTTATTCACATATGTATATATTTTATGGGCCCACCGCATGAAATGGCTTGAGCAGGAATTGCGACTTATATCGAGTATTGAGGCGTAACATTTGCTATCTATCTTTTATTATTATTATTTAAACAGTGAAAATATTTTATAGAATCACGAACGATTCTCTTTACCAATTCAAGTTTATTGAAACACCTTTAATTCTCCAATTATGCATATTTGAAATTATTATTAATAAATAAACTGCTTTATCTAATTTAATAACTAATCTGATTTTAATATTATATCACTAAAAATCATAAGTTTTCCTAATATTTAAAAAAAAAAAAAAAAACAAGAAAAAAGAAAACTTGCCCTTCAATAAAGCTCAAATGGATAAAGATTCACCTGCTTTCTATCCAATGCGTGTACTCACTGGCCCCTTGCTTTTCAACTTAAACGCCTAATTAGCTTCATTAATCAAAGAAAAGTCGGAGCTTCGAATTACTAAAATACCCTCAAATACAACATTGACGTGGCACATATCTATTGGTTGTAATCTCAGGCGATGAAAACGGGCGCAGACAACCATCACGAACCGACTGGAAACATGAAGTTCACTTCCCACGTTAACGCCCCGCGGCACGCAGGATCTAACGCACGCTACAGTCTGTACACGTGAGATGTCGTGAGATCCTGCGTTCATTATTATCCTCTCTGACTTTCCTACACGCCAGATTGTGATCGTCAAACACGCGACACGTGTCCGAATTTCATAGGCTAGGCACGTGGCTTGCCATAGGCCTTCATCTTATCAAATTTTTACGAATTTCATGAACTTTTAAAAATGTGTCTATAATGAATTTATTCTAAAAGTATGTTTAATTTGGTTAGATGAATATATCATGGTAATAAAATATTAAATGTTCGTGAAATTTTTAAGTGGAATGTATTGATCCCATTTCATATAAACTTAATTTTTATTAATTTAGATATATTATCATAAATTTTTAATTAAAATAAATATATATTTTATTTTATTATATAAAAATAAATTAAAAGATGTCTCATTGAATATAATGCTTTCACGTGATGCCATTATCATCATTTCTTGTTCTTATGATGTTATAGTTTACAAGCTACATCCATAATTTCATTCACAGTGATAGATAATATTCGATTTAATTATTTATGTTTAAAAAATAGTTTAAAATTAATTAGTACCATTAATTAATTAACTAATTAGATATTCTTACTAAAGAAGTCATTAATTTTTCTTTGGATAGTGTCACCTATATTTATACATTTGTTTCTAACATAAAATTAAACTTAGATATAAAAATTAGGTTGTATTTTTATTTTTGTTTTTATTTAATGATTATTTTTTATTGTATTATAATTAATGTTTATTAATAAATTAAAACATTTATAGAATTGAAAGTGAGAAGGTGAACCAAAATGTCGTCAAATCACTTTTCTCTTTTTTGACAACCGCGGGATTCTGCCTTGGAGAGCGATAACCAACGGAAAACACAGCCTTCCGTTAAATATTCCGCTAGAACAACGCCTAGGGAGAAATTACGAGTGGGACCCACAAAGCAAACTTCCTTCCACTAATCTCATCCGCGCCGTCTTTCTACAAATTGACTCCAAACATCTGAATCAGCACCTTATATGGTGTTCGACCATGTTAGATGAATTTTCTGCACATAATTTTCACGTAATTTAAAATCTAATAGAATTTGAAATCTTATTAAATTATTTTTGTACAACACGTTGAATCAGATCAGATCAGGAATCATCATGTGCCACTTCACCATACCAGTCTCAGAGCTTGCCTATAAATAACAACCTTCTCTTTAAACCCATCTCGTAGCCCTAAAAAGAAAAACTCTGAGAAATGGAAATGATGAAGAACGGTGTTATTTTCTGCATTGTAATTTTTGTTTCATTCTCATCAATGGAGATGGCATTAGCTGCATCAAATTGTACTAATAAGATCTACACCAACTACATCAAGACAGCATGCAATTCAACAACGTACCCATCCCTTTGCCGCAAGTCCCTCTCTTCTTACGCCTCCGCCATTGAATCCAACCCCCTGAAGCTCTGCAACACTGCCCTCTATGTAACCATCAGAACGGCACGGAATGTCTCTTCATTGGTGACCAAGCTCGCCAAAGAAAAAGGACTCAGCCCCACAGAGATTGGCATCATCACCGACTGCGTTGAGAATATCGGCGACTCCATCGACGAGCTCAATCAGTCTCTCGCTGAAACCAACTACTTAGGCGGTCCCGACACGGAGCTCCACTTGGCTAACATGAAGACATGGGTTAGCGCAGCATTGACGGACGAAGACACCTGCACCGATGGGTTCGATGGCCGGAAGGTGAGCTCGTCGGTCAAGAAGAAAATCAGGAAGTCTGTGTTGAATCTTGCTAAGATGACAAGCAATGCTTTGGCTCTCCTCAATTATCTACGTTATTGAAAGTTGACGGAAGGAATCATATTATTGTTTCTAATATAAAATTAGATCAATCTATTTAATGGTTTCCTTGTAATTTCCCGTACAGGCTTTCATTAATTATTAGCAAGTTATATAAGGAAAAAAAATACGATTTTTACTAAAATGGTGCATGGTACTATAACTTGGAACTCATATATATATATATATATATGTATATATTTATGTTTAGCCTACTTTCCTGCCGAAGAAAATTTGGGAGTTAATCTTCCAGAAAGGTGGAGATATATAGACTTCTATATGTATAATGTATTTTGCAAGATCATGAAGGAAATAACACTACGTATATATAAGTGTGCTTATACTATCTTTTCCATGGTGCATATCTCTATATATTGTAATATTATGTGGAAAGTTCCATGTGACGACAGTCATGATAGTAAGCAATGAGTTTCATCTGGCGATCGAGGGTATTGTAATTTAGATTAACCAGGAATATATTATATGATAATAATTATAGCCACATGCAATTATTCATCTTCAGTACATACAATATATACATATATATATGTACTATGGATGGTATAAAAATATAATATTGATCTTTGTGTAGAGGTCCTAACAAGTCAAAGCATGACATCAACTAAAAAGCTCATTAATTTGATTAATTAAGTAAATTTTTTTCAGTGGGAACAATTTGAGAAGAGAGATTGCTGGTACGGAGAGATCCACTTACAAAGTGTTTTGATTTTCAAAACAAAAAATGATATTTAAAAATAAAAACATTAAATGAAGTAAAAAATAATAACTAATTTTTTAAAAAATCCATACCATAATTTTACTACTATTTCATAAATTTTTCTTTTCATAATAAAATTAATATAATTTTCTGTACATTTGTTCTTAAAAAATATGTCTACTCAATGGAATTTCAAGGGTGAATCAATATTCTTCCAAGGTGAAAACTAAAACCAACATGGGCAAAGAGAAAAAAAAAAAATTATAAGATTGCTTTAGAAAATGGATTATTAAGACTAATTAATTGATTATTAATTCTTTTAATAATTTAATTTAAAACCTGAAATTATTGGGAACACAATGTATTATAGGTGTCATAATAACAGCTAGTTGGAGAAATTAAATAGGCATCTGTATTTTGGTCCCCGAAAGCATAACCATTTGAACTGTAGCGACGTCGTATTGTTATTATTATTATTATTATTATTATTTATTTTCATGGGGGGTAATTACTTATAAATTTTTCTTAAAAGAAAAAAGATGAGGTGGGCCATTAATGAAAAAACCCAACAGATAATACGAACCCATCTTCCCAAATTGTCAACGAAACGCATGTGACTTTTATGGCTCCACCTCCGACTTCCACTACACTCCATGTGACTTATAATTCTAAGTGGTATTTTACTTGTCATCCTCCTTCTTATCACTAATTTTTCTAATTTTATAAATTTGTTGTTTTAATTTTTTTTTATAAAAAAATATTAAATTTTTTTTTAACTCATTAGAATTACTATAATTAAAATAATCTAACTCTTATGTATTTAAGAATATACTTGAGTTCGTGTATAAAATGCTAACTAAAAATCCAACCTAATTATGAATGTATTTGTTGTAGTAAAGATGAGACACAACATAAGTAACTGTTCCTTTTTAATATCATCCAACTGGTTCCCATATCAATTTTGTCTTCACCCCAGGCTGCATCTGCTGGCCTCAATCATGGCGAATTTCCAGTTAAATCAAATCAAATCAAAATCTATAGAAGAGATATTGCTTTAATCCCTGCAAATTTGCGATGTAGCAGAACGTACAAACAGAGAAGAAGAAGAAGATGAAGATGATGAAGAAGAAGAAGAAGAAGAAGAAGAAGAAGAAGAAAGCTTCTGTATTCCTTTTCATTGAAAATCTTTCACTACAAACCATATACATAACAAAAGCATACAAACCAACTCTCATTGAAATTAACGTATCACTCATGCACCCATCTGAACATTCAACAGTAGAGATTCATGTATCGACCAGTGAGCCGACTCAGTGAGTTGCGGCGAGCTGGTTAACCAGAGCCAAGGCATTGCTAGTGACCTGCGAGACTTTCACAACCTGGGCTCTAATCGAGCTCTTCAATTTCCCATTCAAGGCTCGCCCAGCGAACCCGTCGAAACAGGTATTCTCATCGGTCAGAGCCGCACTGACGTAGGTCTGGACGTTGCTCATGTGGAACAAGAACTCGTCACCCCTGAACCCACTCAAACGCTGCAACTCCTGGGCCGCCTTGCTCAGCCGGTCCACCGTGTCATCCATCTCCTCAACACAGTCCTTAATGGCCTGATACTCCCTCCTCTTGAGTCCCTTGAACTTAGTCATCTTGGACACGAACCCCTTAGCGTACTGCGCCCTGGACAAGCTCACAGATAAAGCAGTCAGGGCCAGGTTCTGCGGACTCTGCTGGATCTTGCTGGAGTACGCCGATAGAGTCTGCAAACACACGGCGGGGAAAGTCGTGGCCTTGCACGACTTCTGAATGTAGCTTGAACTGGGTCTCGAGTAAGCACTGCTTGTGCCGGCGATGTAGAAAATAGATAGCAGAAGCAATAAACTCACAGCTCTCGCCATTGTCGGGTTATACTGATCCTAAATATCGAGATTTTTTTAGGGAAGACTCGATCTGGGTTTTAAGATTGAGAGAGAATCGTGTATTTATAGACGGTGTTGTGCGTATGCGTAGATTGTCAATGAGGTAGTTTAATATAATTAGGTTAATTTATTCGTGGGTCATGTGCAAATTGACATTTACAGGTCGCCATTAATCAAGGCTAAGATTCGGGAGTGTACGATAAAATTTAATCCACTTGACAATGAAATATACTCTTTAATTTTAATATAAAAATTAGTTTAAAAGTATTTTTAATCTTAAAGAAAAACCTAATTCTTTACTCTTTTGCTGGCTACCGACATTGTGAATCAAGTTTTTGTCACAGCCGGAAAATGGCGTGTGAAAGAAGAAAAAATGAGAGCACGGTACGTAGTGGGGTATCCAACGACGTCGGTTTAATTGTGGGTCTATGCCATGTGAATCCAACTAATTAATTATATAAATATATATTTTTTGTACGTAGATTACTGAAAATAAAATATACACAAATAAAGTCGCCATTGGAGACTTCTTTTTACAAAGATTTGCCAAATCGCGACGGTCTCTTTTCTTTGGATTTTACAGTCGATTTCTTCAACACCTCCAAAAGCGGCACTGCACTGGCATCACTTTTTTTTTGGTTATATTCGCACACTGCCAACTTTTTTATGTACTTAAAAATATATTATACATAAATGTTAAAATTAAAATATTCTTTTTTAAAAATACGGTTACCATTTTCTAAAAATTTAAAATTAAAAAAGTAAGCTTACTGACTCTTAAATTGACTTAAAATTTTTTGTTTTCACACGAACTGTTTCCCGTAGGTTGGGTGGCATTGCATTTGAGTCAAAAGTACTTCCTATTCTCGTCAAAAAAGCCAAAATTCCACTTATGGAAACGTGAAAAATTAGGTAATAAAACAAACAACAAAATATATGTGAAAACAAAAAAAGTAAAAATAATAATGATAAAAAAAATTAATACATAAAACATTCACGAATACACCAAAATAAAAAAAAAAAAAAATAACACAAAACTTTTACGTGATTCGATAGTGTGCTTATATTTACGGGTGAGACCAATAAAATTTTTTTTCATTAATAAATTTATTTATACATCAAATATTTCTGAAGATAAATATAATATATTTTAAAAATATCTATTATGATAAATATAAATTATTTTCGTAATATAAATAAATATGATTAAAATTTAAATCAAATCAACATAAACTTATAATTGATATATGTGAAAGCTTCAAAGAGACCAAAGCAAAATCAATCAATTTTTACCCTACCCAAAAAGGTGCAAAGTTATGGTAACAACATTTAATTTGGACCCAAAAAGTTGGAGACATCAAATTCTACCCAACAAACTAAATTAATCAATTATTATTATTATTTTTTTCCAAATTGTACCAAATAATCTATTGACCTATTGATTTATTTTTATTTTAAATTCATCGTGATAAACGTGAATTATGAATTTTTTAAAAGTAAAAAATTTACATTTTAATTGTTAATTCATTTATTGCATACATATTTGACCTAACTTTCTAAAGTTGTCGACATTGAAGTTGAATTTTACGTTTTAAAACGTTCAATTTGCTAATTGCTTTTGTACCCACCTGACCTTATCGCATAATAAGAGATTTTGCTTCTTTTTTACTAAGAATTTAAGTTTAATTTTTATTTAATATTAGATTATGATCTTAAATTAAAATTATATAACATAGTATGTGTAACATCCACCTAAAGAAAGAAAAAAATGTAAATAAAAATAATAATAAAATTGGAGTTTGATGTAAATAAAATAAATTTTCAAATTTAGTGGGGGTTATATTGATTTCAAGGGTATAAATAAAAGTAGTTAATAAAAATAAGATAAAAATATAAATAAGAAAAAATAGAAAGGGGTAAAGAAAATCATAAAAAATAGACGGTCCAGATCGGACTATTTGAGAAGATCAGATAGATGATATTTAAAAGAGAATGGACAGTACATATCGAATCAGGAATATCCAACAGTAAAAATAAAAATGGTAAGAGTAAAAATTACTCATTGTATAAAGCGTCGAGGCTTGACACTATTAAAAAATATTGATGAACATGTATATACAAATTTTAAATTATATATATAGATGAAAATATAGTATAATGTTTTAGACGATTAAATACATTTTTTATAAATATCTATTATATTTTTAATGCATTGATGTCACTCACGTCGTTTGGGTAGTGCAACGTAGACCGACAAATTTAAATTATTAAAGAAAAATTAAATATTTTGAAATAAAATACAAAGGAAATTCATCGAATCCGACTGCGGATGAGGTGTAAGAAATTCGAAATTAATAATTGAAACCATACAGAACAAAACATAAAATAGGTTTAATTGCGTAATTAAAAACATAATTTTTAATAATTTTTTTTAATTAATATATATATATATATACATTAATTATAATACAATATAATATTTAAAAAATAATATACAGGACTACACTCTAATTTATTATCATAATCTTTTTATAAAAATTAATTGTTAACATCATAATCAGGTGCTTTGGCATTGAAAATATTTATTAGGTGCTTAAATATAAGTGAGTTGGAGCTCTAAATATTTTATACATATTATTGGTAAATTTTATATCTTATTACTATATTTTTTTTAAAAAATAAAATATTAAAATTTCAGATTTAAAATATAATAATCTTTTTTATTCTTTTAAATATTATATATATTTATATGTAATATGATCTATCGTTTCTCTAAAGGGTATCTAATCTGCCCACAATTTGAGGTCAAACGTCAACACTGTTCAGTGTGGCTCCAGAGAAGGGGTCAAATTTTCCAACTTAGACCCAAATTTAGACAATGATGCGCATGTTCTTTTGAATTAATAAGCACTTAAATTCTTGGGTTATTAAATATAAGTACTAATAATTGTTTAACTTAGTATTTATTTATTTATTCTAAAAAGCCGAAACGTTTCGAACCATCTGTCTGAAATTTTTTGTTACGTTTAATTAGAACTGACTGGTTGTAAAAGATTGGCTTCAACATTTTAAATGCGTTACATTCCCTTAAGGCCAAAATTTTCACGACCTTAGACGCTCAGTATTCAAGATATGTAACAGCCCAGCTCTCTTTTAAACCCAAAACATTGGGCCCACAAGGCCTTCTCCAGCTTTCCATAAAACGATGCCGTTTCAAGCTCCAGTTTCATTCTGCATCGCTTTGTTAAAAAAAAAAAAAGAGAGATGGGACGGCGAGATGACTCGTGAATGACCCTCTCGCAAGCTGCCGATGCAGAAATGGGAAAGAATCGAGCGAAGAAGAGAGCAGAAGGGAGAAGCCGATGGAGTGGCGTAAAATCGAGAAATTGAGAGATTTATTAAGTCGAAAATGGCAAGGGCAGAAATCAAGGATGTTCTGCTAGGGATTTGACTGAAAGAAGAAAGGAAGCGGCGTTTTCCGAGGAGACTGGCCGGATGAATGAGAGGACTTAAAATACTCTTCATACAATGAGGGTCGATTAGAGAGAAGACCGACCGAAGAATAGCTTCGGGTTTACCACAAACGTTCTCGACTTTCTTCCTTTAGGATGCAGAAGCCAAAAACAGAGGGGAAGCTAAAGACTTGAAACTCAGGAGTAAACCAGAGAGAGCTTTTGGATTGGTAGCGAGTGGGCCTTGTGTTCCAAAATCAGAGAGATGTATCTAACTTCCAAGAGAGAGAAAACCCTATAGGGCTTGTATTTTCGTTGTAAACTGATTTCATGTAGGGTTTGTGCTTCCGTAGTGAAGTGATTTTCTGTAATGTAGCAAGAACTGAGGAGCTAGTTTGGCCACCTGATGGTAAAAGAAAAGAATCGTTTATCTTTTATCTTCGGATTAGCATATAAACCTATGTGACGAATGAGGATGATGATTGACTTGTTTTCCTGGGCTTTTCTTAAATCCCTTTTTGAGTGGATGAATTTCTCACATTTCTTGATGAAATCAATTATCTGGCCAAAGCTTAGTTCTCTTTTTTTTTCTTTAATTTTTCATTATATTTTCTTATTACGAGTAGGTAGTATTGATACTTGCAAATGGGATTTCAACTCTTGAACAGCTCGGTAACTGTTTGGCTCAATTTCTACGAGGACATATAATAGTCAGCATATATAGTCGGTTGAGTTTGTACTCGTGTAAAGTTAGGGTTTCTAAAGTGTTTTTGCCCACTGGTGTGTTATTAATCGGTTGGATGCATGATGGAGCAGACAACATTTCCATTCCTCTTCCTTTTCCCTGGAAATGAATGCTTTAAATAGTGAATCTGTCAGTAAGAAATCTTATGTTCCTAGGCATCTATTGATAAGCTGCTGGTATATACGACTGAACAATCTAATTTGTGCTTGACTAGTCACCAGTAAGAAATCTGTTTTTACCTTTCGGGTCATGCACGAGTTTAATAGGGCAGTTTAAATCTACCTAAAACATTCTGGTTATGAATGTTAAAGTGTTAATTAATGAGGATGTGATTTAGGCTTTATATGATTGCCTTGCCCCTGGGTGTTGCTCTACGGACTTTAAGATGTATTAGTATATGTTTGAAAAGAACATGTTTCCAAGATGCTGGTTCTGAATGCTTCAGATAAGGATGCACTAATGTTTGTTCATATGTGATTCTTCTGCTCTTTTAAAGACTGACTATGTTATTGTTAATTCTCTCTTCTTCTTAGGTTTGTGGCAGTTTAGGTATCAAAAGTCAAAATGAAACCCCTTTGAGACAAGAGTTTAGGTGTTTGAAATTTTTGTACCTGGTTTCTTTCTTGGAGATTTTGTAGGTTGCACCAACTTAAAATGCAATGCTGGTTTAGGTTATTCCTTTTGTTAACTTTTGGGTTTCGAATTGACATTTGATTTTTTCTACTAATTCCTTGTTGTTTAATTACACCTTTTGCTAATTGTTGGAAATCTTTGGCCTGATCGGGACTAGCAGATAGAGGATGCAAGAAGTATAGACATGCTTTTATAATCCTTTAAACAAATGAAAGGATAGTTACTGGACCGTCTGATTCTGTTTATATGTCGACAACTTTTAGGATTTATTCTTCAGTTCTGTCCATGTTATTGCAGGATTTAGTGATAAAAAAAGGCACTAGTTGTTTGTTCATTGATTAAATGTTTCCTTTTACCAGTCCATGATATCTCTTAATATTTTACCAGTGCGTTTTTGGTGGTTGATACTAACTCTAATAATAGTTGTGACAATTACTCTTTCTTTTCGATTTCGTTAATTTTTTTAGAATGCCATCGCATTGCCATTGTGACAATATCGAACCTGTTTTGGTAATGCATTTTTTTTCATATTGAATTCAAAAGAAAATAAGATATGGTCATTTTATTTTTGACATATAATTATATCTTGATTGTGTGTTTATACATATATACATATATCTTAAATGATAGCTAAGGTACTTCCTCATCAGATATATTCTGTTTCGATATCTTTGATTGTCTTTCTGCAGTCGAAGCGACAGCCATGACGTCGGGGCTTTTCAGGATTTTCTGTGTCTGAATCACTTGGTTCCAAAAAAAGTCCTCTGAGGCATCGTCTTCTCACTGTAGGCTCGAAAGTAAGCTTCTCGGAGGGGCCCATCTTATACTCAGCCTTGTGTGTCTCAAGAGGTTTTGGACTTAACTTGGTTGATTCTTCTTGATTCTGACATAGACTCAGTTTAACACCTGGGTTTCTCTCATCAACACTGCTTTCAAGAAAAATTGAGTTATTAATGCTCTGCACATTGTTGTTGATGTATGACTTCGTCAACGGCTGTTTGGTTGTTGGGTCTTCAGAACTTCTTCCTTTGAAGCTTCCTTCTCCATCAGTGGTTACATCAGGACTTTCATCTGGGTTAGTCTTATAACCACGATAAATGTGGATTGGAGCTTCCTTTTTTACTGATGCTGGAGCTATCTGCATGAATGCTCCTATGTTTTCACCTGCTAATGTCATTACAGTAGCTGATTTTTCACCCAAAGCCTGGTTTGGTTGTCCTGCTACAAGCTGATTGACAAATTTAGAGACATCTTCCATAATCTCTTTCTGTAGTGGAACTCCTCTTGCATTTGCTATAAGAGGTTTGTGCTGAGCCTTGCTCGTTATGTCTGTTGAAGTCGTAGTTTTCAGTTGATTTGGGTCAGAGCTTGCAGCATTCAATGTCCTTTTCTTTTCTTGAACATCTTGCTTCTCTTGCTGCTTCTTTTGTGCTGCTTGAAATGCTTTACTTGCTGCCTCTCTGATCTTGGTTCCTGAATCTGCCGCTGCTGCAAGAAGATTGGTAATTATTCCTTGACTTGAATCCTTGGGCAATGGAGCCTCGGTCTTTTCTTCTTTCAAGGTTTCCTCTGCAACGAGTGCATTTGTAGTGGCTGTTGTCAGTAAGCCTAATTCTTTTTGTTGCTGTTCTGGTACTTGAGGTTGAGTGGTTGACTCGCTTTGGATTTGATCCTCGGATTTGATGGTGGTCTCTGCTGCAATTTCTGCATTGGATTTAGATTCTTGTGTCAGTTGGGGTGAAACTACTGACTCAGGTCCTTGTTGAGGGGCCGGGATCTGCGGCTGAGATGCATCCTGTATGGTGGATTGAAATTTTGGAATTCTTTTATCTTTTGACAGCTGTGTTGTTTGATCTGATTGCTGGTCTGAAGGTGATAACAAACGAACTGGAGATTGTGGGTGGGAGGTTGTTTCTTCTGCTGGTTGGGTCTTGGAAGCAGTGCGAGGCGGGGCTATTGATCGTGTGGATGTTTTAGATGGTGATCGTGTAGGTTTGTTAGACGGTGATCGTGTGAGGGTTGCAGATGACGACTGTGGTTCAGTTGTGTCGCTATTTTGAGTTGTTGCTGGTTGTGGCAACAGTTGCTGAGAGGTGACTTGAGATGGTAATGTTGGGGGCGATAAAGGTTGTGATTGAGCTGTTGTGGGAGGAGGTAATATTTGTCGGGATGTGGTTTGGAGTTCAGTAGGGGT